ATTTTTGAGAATTTTATTCGTTTTTTTTTTTTTTTCAGTTTTGGTTATATTAGTACAAAAAATTTAAAATGAAAATTAGATGAAATGAAAATAAAATGTTGCCTTTGCAACTAGCTGAAATAAAATAGGTTTTAAATATATTATTATTATTATTATTATTATTATTTAAAGTAACAATCTATTTATGGTTTTAGTTTTAGGTAACAATAATAACTCTGAACATAAATAAGCAGCAGGAAAATTATGACATTGTTTTTTTAAAGCATATTTATTTATTTTTTATTTTATTTTATTAATTTAATTTGGCAATCATGAATCATGAATCTTTAAGGAACTCCTATTTACAACAAAAGAAGCATGACAAGCACCCTTTAATTCATAATGGAGGTTAATACAAAGTGAAAAATTTAGCGCCTGTCTATCCACAATGCTCTCTATGCTACAGCTTCAGCCTTAGAGAAGTTTAGACACAGGGAATGTTATTTTATGTTCTTCAGTAAGCCATCATAACTACACCTTATATCTTATCTCACCATACTCCATATAATATTACAAACAAACTCACTGCATGAAAAACAATATTTCAAGACTGACAGATTATTGCAATCTATACACAACAGCACAAGGTTGATCAGTAAGCCTCACTTCATCACAACAGTCTCAAGCAGATTAAAGAGAACACAAGAATAATGATGTTGCTATAGCAACAGTCCAACTCCAGAGTGAGGACTGATTAGCTGCTCATACAAGTAAAAAAAACAAATAAAAACAATGAACTCTCTCTCTCTCTCTCTGCGTCTATCCATAATCATTGCACAATTTAACAGTAAACATAACTTCAGAGCAGTGGCCCTGCAGTGAGTTGTCCCTATATAATGCATTATGAAGGTCTCCATGTGTAAGCGATGCCAAATCCGGCTTAGACAGCCGAGGAATCTTGTCCAGCCACGTCACATCATCACTTTCATCCTTTGTTTACACACAGGGCAGCATTTAACGTGATCATTACAATCGCAGAGTAGAAGTAAGGAGCTACTGACTCTATCAAGCACAGCCAGTGGCTGAGCTAATGCAGCTAATACACATCAGCAGCCAGAGCCACTTAACGCTGAGCATATCAGATCAACTCGCAGGGATAAATAAATGAGGCTCTTTGGGAATTTCGGCTGCTTTGGTATCTGTTAGCCGTCTGATGCCTGAAAATCAAAACATGGAGAGCAGATGCTCTTGAAATATCAGACTATAAATAAAATCTTACAAGGCCAACTAGACACCAACATAAAGTAAATAACTGATATTACTTAACATTTCTTCTACACTGCAGATTTATCTAATTTAATTCCTGTTATGCCACAACAAAGGTGCATATTAACATTCTTAAAACTTGGCCAGAACAAACTCTTTATTATATTTCAAATTGATTTCCTTTTACTTTTAAAATTCCTTCAGAACTTCTTTAGAAATTGCAGCTCTTTATGAAATACAAGTGATTCAAGTGACACTACAAGATCAGTGAACTGCTCCTATTTTTTCGCTCTAAAAGAAAAAAAAATCTGAATTTTAACTGGCTGCTTTTAAGTGGAAACATCATGCTTCTTGGGGTGTCGAAGGCTGGGACAAATCTCCTTTATCACTGCTTCATTAATTATCTCATAAAGGAGACAAAATGCATTCAGTGTGGTAAGTAAATAGGTTCCCTTTCGAACGGTCTTTTCCGTTGCATCGTTGACGATTTCGGGAAAACTCCTGTTTACTCTGTTACCGAAGCCTCATTTGTTCATTTTCGTGTAGCTGCACGAACCAATAGCGATTCAACCTGCAAAAAGATCATCTACGAAGATCATCAGATGGGCACAGTGAGTTTGTCGCCTGTCTGGGCAGTGCCCACGGTTTACCTGCAGAGCGGTTTACAGCAGCACAGAAGTCATCGCAGGCAATACATCACTTCCTGCTGAAGTGCTCCTGTGCGGCGGCTGTTTCAAGTCACCAGAAGGCTCCATCCTTCCAGCAGCCTGCCAAGCCAGCGCCGCCTCAGCCCCAGCCTAAACCTGAGCCTGGGCTTTAGCAGCATCCCCGGACGGTGAAATGCTACCCGTTTCCGAAGCGTCAAGGTCCCCGCCCCAGAGCGACCCACATACGCAAAAGAGAATTTCTCCTCTCCTCATTACCATGAATGTCAGTTTCCCGCCCCTGTGCGGCGAACTACCATTCGAAAAACTAGAATCACTTGCTGGCTACAGGATTGGAAAGCTAGGTGAGCATGGTGAGTAACACCATGTCTCGCGCCGCACCGCAACAGCTGGACGTCACAAAGCAACCATTGAAAATCATTTGAAATTTGTGTCAATACGTCATAAATAGAACGCAGCAGCAGTTTTCTGTTGGGATTTGTCGCGCCGCGCCACATCCAGTTTAGACAGCATCACTGATTATAATGAGTTCTATAGAATTTTGTTTTGTGCCGCGCCGCTCGCGTCCGGTGTAGACACGGTGTAACATTGGTTTTGCTTTGTTTCACAGAACTAATCGTTGCCTGGGTTGCGGAGTGGGGCGGAGCTATCAAAATAGGGGCGAGACCCTTTTGGGGTAGGGGCGTGTTTGTTTTGGTGATTTGAAATATCAACATTGGCTACCAGAAATCACTTACCCCACCTTTAAAACACATTTTTGCCCCGTTTGTGTTGTTTTATTACTTACAAAATTATTTAAAGTATAAAACATTGTTATTTACAATACACAGCGTGGTTTTAAATCATAATTTTAGGGGGGACAACCCTCAGATAGGGGGGGTCCTGTCCCCCCCCGTCTCCCCGGGATTTCCGCCTATGTCGGCAGCCCCTTGGCCAATACCACTGAGGAAGGACCTTCTCTCGCAAGCGTAGGGCATGATTTGGCATCCCCTGCCATAGCTGTGGAGCCTTCATGTTTGGCCCCTCAACAGGAGCCTTTACAGCTCCCTGCGATGGCAACTAATACAATTTTAGAGGCTAGAGCTCCATCTACAAGATGTCTTTATGCCCTTAAATGGTCAGTCTTTTCTGACTGGTGTGCAGCACAGAGCGAGAACCCGTCATTGTGTGACGTGTCCTACGTGCTAACCTTTCTGCAAGAGCTGCTGGATAAGGGGTGCACCCCATGCTCAAAGTATATGTGGCGGCCATCACGGCAAATCATTCTATTGTGGCTGGCCAATCAGTCAGCAGAAACGACCTAATCGTTAAGTTTCTGAGGGGAGCTTGGAGATTGAATCCGCCTCATACTGTGCCGACTTGGGACTTATCTCAGGTCCCTGTGAGGCCCTCCCTTTGAGACACTCCAGACTTGCGGCCCCTGTCGCTTAAGACCGCCCTCCTTCTGGCGTGAACAAATCAGGCTTCAGTAACAGAGTAAACAGGAGTTTCCCCAAAAGTGTCAGCGACACAGCGCTCGTTCCCTTATCTCAGGGAACCGAGGTTACGTTAGTAACCGGAGCGTGCTATGTAATACATTTTTTTAAATAAGTACGTGCATATACTTATGTGTACATGTGTTTTTCCTCTCCACAGTGCTACCATCTAAAAATGTGGCGCTCGAGCTAAAAGGTCAACTTCAAAAAAAAAAAAAAAAAGCACCTCGAGACCTTGCATTTTTCCCCCCAATCCTCTCTCAGGTTTCACGTTTTTCAAAGCAAAAAGTCTTCTGTGTGAATGGCCCCTAAGTGAAGTGAGTGAAAAAGTGACGTGACATGTGGCCAAGTATGGTGACCCATACTTGGAATTAGTGCTCTGCATTTATCCCATCCAATGTGCACACACACAGCAGTGAACACACACCCAGAGCAGTGGGCAGCCATTTTTTGCTGCGGCGCCCGGGGAGCAGTTGGGGGTTCAGTGCCTTGCTCAAGGGCACCTCAGTCGTGGCATTGAAGGTGGGAGAGAGCGCTGTACATTCACTCCCCCCACCTACAATCCCTGCCGGTACGAGACTCGAACCCGCAACCTTTGGGTTACGAGTCCGACTCTCTAACCATTAGGCCACGACTTCCCCTAAGAAACGTCCTTAAAAATAGGGCCCGATGTATTGTGTTAATATGAAGAAATTTTCTATATTTATTTTTCACAGGTGTTTTACAAATATTGTGAACTACGCATTGCATTGTGTTGTGTTTTAGGGTTAAAGGAAATGTCAGTAACCTTAACAGATAATACATTTGGTTGGGTTTGGTTTTAATACTAAAGTGTTCAAATTATTAATAGCACAAATACAAACTCTTAAATATCACATTTAGCATTATATGTGTGAATTCCTGCTCTGTAACACCTTTGACAAATGGATCTGATAATAATTCCCTAACTGGATGAATGACTTCCATTAATGAGTTTCAAACAAAAGATTTGTGGTGGGAATAGTGACGGCTGTGCAAGGAGCTTTATTGCCAACTCGGCAAAGTGGACCATCGGGTTCATGGACCTCTGTTCTTGGACATATGAAACTTAAGTGGATTTGTGCTTTGAAGGAACAAAGCCAGTGTCAGCCAGTGCTAAATCAAGCCTCTGGGGCTCTTACTGGGCCTTCAGTGGAACTAGCAATTATCCATTAATTACATCCTGAGATATTTGCTAATGGACTCCTCCATTCTTAGGACTTCACTTCAACTGAAAAATCAAGACATAATGTTCTAATGTGCCCGGGCCGTCTCTTTACTATAGCAAAATGAGGAGATTACCTCATCTCGTGTAAGCAATTAGTGTTTGGCAGCCAAGAAGAAAAGAAGGGCTGTCTGCTGTGACAAACATACACAGACCACGGTCAAGCCTAACTGCACCATTGAATAATAATTACAGTGCTTGCATGCCACTGTTAGGGGTTTGTTTTAAAACACTAAATTTTACATTTCTGACCGAATTAATTCAGTAATTAGTTCAGATTAAATGTCTGGTTTCAAACTTTAATTCTAGACAATTTCAATTTGTATTAAAAATGTTTTTTGATTATTTGTTTTATTAATTATATTAACTAATAAAGTTTGAAAAAATCTCCCACTGACTTGCTGAAAATGTTTAAATCTATTCAAATCATTGTAATATCTGCATACTTAGTATTCTTTATTACTAAATACTGCATACTGAATTGTGATTACACTCTGAATATATTACACTGTTGATTCTTGTGTGCAACAGACAGAAAACAAAATGCATGTCGAGTATCATGACAACAGCAAACTTCATTTACACAGAAACAAAACTTAAAATTGAAAATTGTTCTGAAAATCTAGTCTGAATATTTAACCTAATGTAAAATCTAGCTCCATTTGAAAATAAACTAGGTCATTGTTTGGCACATCATGCGATTTGGGCACTTAAATATAATGGCTAAAAGATCACTTCAATAAATGTTATAATGTGATACTATTAGTAATATTAAAGATGACTTACTTTCATTCGAGCCTTGACTTTCATCCCATGATCTGATGTAATCGTCCTGACAAAAACAAAGAAGTAAAAACAGTCAAATGTGCTGCACAGAATAAACTTTAAGCGTTTAGTCAAGAATAATACTTCTATCACTGTGCATCTATCATTAACCAAACTTAAAAGTACAATACTAAGATATTTTAATTGTGAAAAGCTGTGGAAAAACACTAATGGAAAAAGGAGGGATGGAACTTAAGAAGAAAAATTCTGAAAGATAAACAAGGCAAAAAAGATGAACGCTTAAATTAAATGTCAAACAAAGATACATAAGCAACTTAGACTACATAAAAAGTGGGTTACCGCTTTGATAGTGAATATTAGATTAAGCATTTTAAAAGAGACATCAAACACAAGCAAAGTCATGATACAGCACTACTGACCTCCACTTCCTGGTGAAATGTGAGAAGGATGAATCAAAGACAAAAAAGAAGGAGACAGTTAGAGGAGAGCGATGCATCTCTGAGAAGCAACTATTTAGAAAAAAAGACAGGCTCCAACTGCTAAAAAACATCTATTCGCCTCCTGGGTAAAACTTTGAATATATCCTTGATATTCCCTCATGTGTCCTTATAAAAGAGGCAGTTGCTTTAAGATAATTATACACTTGGTGCTCATAACACTTGAAATATTTCAGCACTCTGACTAATAATAATAATAACAACCTTTTTTGTAAAGTTCACAAGCTTATTAGTGTCATCAGCAGTCATTTATCTTTGCAGTTGTATGTATAAACGAGGTGGAATTGCATATTGACTGAATTTGGCTTTGTCAGCTACAACAGCGCAATAAATTTATATTTTTCTGCAGCAAATGTTTAAGTCACAAGTCAAGTGGTTATACATATGCTTTATCACTTCTGAAATGTAGACCAATAAAAAAATGACATTTTCGTTACATATTTAACTTAAAGGGGTCATATGATGCTGCTAAAAAGAACATTATTACATAGTGAGGTAGATATGTGGGGGCGTGTTAGAACGAGCCGTTTTAGGTAGGTGTGGCTGACTCTGAACTTTTATAAAGAATATCTCTTTGGATTTCAGACTTTAGTCTTTGCAAATTTACAGATCTTCTTTATGCACCAAGAGCTTGTAACACTCCAAAGAGAAAGGAAAAATTTAAATCGCATCATATGACCCCTTTAATAGGTCTACTTCACGAATATATACCAACCACTTTTGTAGACCTTGATGAAATACAGCACTGCTAAATCTATTTAAGACCTGAATTAAAATTAAAAAAACTGTAAAAACTATTACTATATGAATATGTGCTCCTGATATGATATAACCTTGTCAAAACAAATCAAAGACCAGTGACTCAAAATTCAGTGCTGCATTGCTTAACTGCAACAATCCCTGGAGCTGGACAACCTTGTTATTCATTTCCTGATACCTGCATTATTTAAGTCAGTTTTTGCTGTCTTAGCATAGTAGATACTGTGTGGTGTACTGAGAAATAAGGTGTCCATATCAGTAAACATCGAATGGACAGAGTGGTGAAACCTCTTGAATATATTTTTTATCTTTAGTTTATGCAAATTGAATCAGCCACCCATGCAAACACAACCCTTAATTCTTTCGATATGCACTGTTTTGAGAAGAGAGCTGTACACTAAGTGTGAAGTATGTGAAAAATGTTGTGCCACATCAATGTGTTCCCCCTCTCTGAAAAGATGCAAGAATGAGTCAGAACAGAAAAGTATCGCCATAGCTCACAAAAATATTGCCCCAACATATCATCATCTAATTTTATATGACCATCATCACAACACATCATCATCAATATTTCTTAAAAGCTTAAAAAGCTTAAAGGGGTCATATGATGTTGCTAAAAAGAACATTATTTTGTGTATTTGGTGTAATGAAATGTGTTTATGCAGTTTGAGGTTCAAAAAAAAAATTATTTTCCACATACTGTACATTATTGTTTCTCCTCTATGCCCCGCCTTTCTGAAACGCATTGATTTTTACCCCCTCGAAACTCGATTGGGCTAGTTTTGATTAGCGATTGGGCGGGTTTTCTTGTGAAAACCTGGCAACCCTGCCCCTTACCATACCGTGATGCCGTGTCCCGGAGTGACCAGACAAAAACATTAAAACCCATTATAAACGAGGGATTTGTTGCATCCAGTGGGGACATAATTACGGATTATAATGACTTATACTGTCTTTTCACGCGTTGCGTTGCATCGCACCGCGCCGCGCCGCGTAAACATAAAACCATGTCTGCATTTGTGATCGGAGAAATGACAAACAACAAGCGCTACTCTACACTGCTCAAAACTCCCGTTTGAATCATAACGAAACACACAGCGTCTTCACAACATGGCGGCGGCAGTGGCAGCAACAATAAAGTTACGCCTTCTTCAGGGTTGCCAGGTTTTCACAAGAAAACCTGCCCAATAGCTACTCAAAACTAGCCCAAAACTAGCCCAATCGCGTTTCGAGGGGGTAAAAATCGCATTCCGGGGAGTAAAATACATGTTTTTTGGCAGGGGTCTCCTGCTAAAATTCGCATTCCAGGGGATAAATATCATGTTATTGGAGTCGCTTCAACCCACGGACATGAAACACAACCCGCGGCAACAGTGTTAAAGTAACCCAATTCCATGGGAAAACCGGGGACTTGGCAACACTGGCCTTCTTTCTTTGCGTGAACATTTGGGTGGCGTTATGCAAATCTTCCCACATTGTGACGTAGACATGTGGGGGCGTGTTTGAAAGAGGTGTTTTAGGAGGGTGAGGACCAGTCTTAACTTTTATAAAGAATATCTCTTTGGGTTTGAGACTTTAGTCTTTGCAACTTTAGGGATCTTATCTATTCACGAACAGCTTGTAACACTCCAAAGAGAAAGGAAAACTTGAAATCGCATCATATGACCCCTTTGATTTCTTCAAGCTTAATAGAGAACAACAGTGCCCAGCCACTTTTTCAGTGGCATTTGTTCCAAAAGTATATTTCTGATAGTTCAAGACCTATAAGCCACAAATCAAATCAACAAGCTATAAACTATACAAACTTTAATTTGAAGCAAAACACTAACAGTATCTAAAAATCTGACAAAAAGACAAAGGTACAAAGCTGTGTATTTAACGGCTTTATTGAGGGAAAGAATTTCAAATCCCATGAAGCACTGCGAATAACATGATTAAATTTAAAATTATGCAGATATAAAAAAATATTGATTTTAATATGCTTAATATAGTAACAATATGTTTATTTACAATAACAATATGTTAATATTAAGTTCTATAAAGAAACAATATGTTATTAAGTTCTCTTATGGGTGGAGATTTGTTTGCAAAATCATGGGTAATGTAGTTACAATGATTATTTCAAAAATAAGTTGAAATAATGTGGGCTGATGGCTTCAACAAAAGCATAACAATCTCTTAGCTCACAGTAGGTCTTTATTTATGGGTTTATATAACGTAAAACTCAATTCCCCTTTGGAGAAGAGGATTTTTACTTCCGGAACCCGAATGTTACACTCTATATGTAGTAAGCAACAGTGGCTCAACCGGCAGAAGTTTGGGGCAGGGCTATCTATTTAACTAACCAATAGAAGAAGAAGAGAGCATTCAGAGGAAACAATTTTTTTTTACTATAAGGTGCCGCAGGTGGTTCAGAAATGACGTACTTTCTTTAATGAAGGACATATTAATATTAAGAATCATCATATTTACCACTCTACAATATGTCAGTCCAAAATTTGATCACATGCGGATGCGGAATCCCGACACTTTGTTTTCTTTGAGAGCATAAAGACATTTCAAGAGTCAGCAGCACTTGAGACCAGTCTAGGAAGCAGTCATCCACAGATGAGTGTCTCCTGTATCCGGAGTCAGCTCATCTTTGGCCTGCCTTGAGTGAAGGCTGCCAAGATTATCCCTCAGAGGACCCCGGTCTCATCAAAAACACCACAGAATGCATCAACCCCTCCTGTGCTGACTGACAGCTCTTTTATCCCTCATATCTCTGCAATGTAATCGGGCATGTCTGAACATGCACTCTGTAAATTCAGCTTTGATTTGGAGGCCCTCAAACAGCTGTGTATGTTTACATGACATACAAGCATTTGACTGGCACCTGGAAGAAGATGAAAAGTGATACACACATACGTGCGTGCGTGCGTGAGTGTGTGTTCAAGCAGCAGTTGGTGGGTGAACTGGATCTGTCTTTTTCACTCAAACTTAACAGTTACATCACAATGCAGAGAAAAAATGCAGGAACATACCATTGTGCTCCTGTGCTGCTGCTGCTACGAAAACATCTGCTACAGTGACACAGCAGAAAGATGTCAGGGAATTAAAATCACTAAAAATATGGGTTTATTAATAGTGACAGATTCAAAACTGTCAAATTACATCAGAAGTTCATTTAAATTTCTAAACTTACCAAATATGGCAATCAGAAAAAAATTACGTGTATTTACCTGTCAATTCACAGGTTTCATGTAACGTCATATCCTTCCACCTGGAAGGCAAAACAAGGCTTTCCTCCACCGCCTGCCAGTTATTTTTTTACTAGGTTTGTACCAAGTCCTAAATGTACTAAGACAGTGATATTAAATTCAGTATACAACACTTTACAATTAAATTCAGTATACAACATTTTGGTGAAATGCTTTCATATTATTGGCTCATCTGATTGACTGAATATAGTATGCATAATCAATAAATTATATTTTTAATCTTTTAATAGCTCTGCTTTACTACATTATACCACAATAAGCATTTTCCACATCAAGTGTGTTTGAACTACATGATGTCCGATTCATGAAAAATGACTGATCTGATTCTTGAGTCAGTCATAAAAGATTCAGCCTTGAACCCGCTGTTAAATTTGAATCAGACTCACTCAGAAAGTGAATCATTCAGAGAACTGAGAGTAATTGTTGGATTTGTTGTTCTAAATAAATCAGAACCGTGATGTGTGATTCAGGTTCGTGAGACATGCATCAGTCTATTTATTAACTGGGTGTTAATAATTGACAACGTGTAAATAAAGATATACACAACACTGCAGAGATTTGTTGTATAATTTAGTCTAAAAACATTTTCCCCAAACAGGCACAGTTATTCTTACAAAACAGTGATGTATAACTGTATGCCACACATAAAATCAGGATCACTAGAATAAGAGCATTAAATCTGTACAAGTTTATACTAAATGCAACTAGAAAAAACACACTACATCATCATATCTACTAAAACATCCTTTACTTTTAGCACACAACAGAGTTGTTAAGAACTAAAGGAAGATGTTCTGCACTAATGAACAATACTGAAGCGCTACTGAACAACAGTGTTCATCATGTAATTCTGTAATTTGTAAAAAAAAAAAAAAAATTATGAAAAAAAAAATCATTTTGAAGCCAGCCCTT